TGCACACTGAGCTGGGCAGGTCCCAGGTTGAGGTCCAGCGGTGCACACTGAGCTGGGAAGGTCCCCGGTTGAGGTCCAGCGGTGCACACTGAGCTGGGCAGGTCCCCGGTTGACGTCCAGCGGTGGGCAGCTCGCAGGTTGAGGTCCAGCGGTGCACACTGAGCTGGGAAGGTCCCAGGTTGAGGTCCAGCGGTGCACACTGAGCTGGGAAGTTGGCAAAGAGCTCGGCAACGAGTTGGCAAGGAGGCGGAGGCGAGGAGGAGGGCGAGGAGGGCGAGGAGGACAGCTAGTCGAGGAGGAGGAGGAGGAAGAGGAGGAGGAAGAGGCGGCGGGCATGCGCTCTGATAAAGTCTAACAACCCTCATCTGGCAGGTGAGGAAAAAGTGCTACCCCAAGAGCTAGATTCTAGCAATATCGAATAATTTAATTATGGAAAATCCGAAAATAAAATGGAAAAATCTGGGAAACCCTGCCAGGCATGGCGAAAATTGCGAATCATTGCGAAAAATCTGCTGATCTCACAGAAGATCACATGTTCTACACAACACATTAGCCATGTCATGGCTGAATTCGTTTGGGTCTGGAAAACATCATTTAGGAAAAGAAACAGGCATGGTATAACACTCCCAATTGTCAGAGCTGTTTGCGGCTGAGGCAAACATGAGGTTCAAGGCAGAAGACACTGTTGACGACATTGAGATTGACAACAACAAACCTCTCTGACAGCCGCTGAGTGCTGCCCCGACCTGAGTTGACTGAAACTTACCGTGAAAACACTCCAATTGTCCCACAAGGCGACCGACCCAGGCGACCCTCACCTCCAATCTCCAGCTACAGACGTCACACCAAGTCTCCTGTGCCGCTCGGAACCAGCCCTCTGCGGACTGCAAATCGCGAGACTTTGCCGCAACGTTCACCATCCTGGCTGTCCAAATTAGCACCCTCCACGGCAGAAAAATTCATCAGTCAATTGCTTTCCAGGCAATGATCGATCACCCTCCTTTATATACAAGTTCTAGAATGGATAGTTTGAAAACAATACTGATCATTATATACAATTTTATTACCCCCCAAAAATCCGAGTTTTCTTTGATTTACATGGATTTACCGTGTTCAATAATTGTTTAAATACCGAATCACAATCCCCCATCCAACTCTCGTCGGTTTCAGCCCCAGAGTCATCGTAAAGGTCACTCGATCGGGTCGCAGCCCCTCTTCGATGACCTTGGCGAAGGTCCGCTCCGCAGCCTTTAGACCTTCGTGTTTTCCCACCGCATCGATCAGCGCGTTGAAGGTCTTCAGCCGCAGCCTCGGCTTTGCGGTTGCAAAGCTATCATTATTTGATTAAATTATAATATCCTCTCCATTTTCCGATTTTCTGAAGTTCCATCCTTTTTTGATATTCCATATCACCAAACAAAAATCTTCCAAAATCTTCATTCCCATCTTCCAGAATTTGTCCGAATCTTTCCCATCTCAAACCCATCCATTTCGGCATCCAAGGCGCTTGACCCGCTTCTGCTTGGCCTCCTGGAAGCACCTGCGCGCCACCTCCGCCGGCTGATCCGGCGCAGACGCATCCGCTGTCGCCACATCCGCTGTCGCCGCGGCTGCCACGGCCATGAGGACGGCCTCGAAGAGGCGCACGTCGGGCGCCAGGCCATGCTGTTGACTGAGCTGCTGCCAGGATTGGGTCTCCTGCTGGCTGATAGGATATGATACTCATGGGATAAAGTTGAGATATATTTGAGATATATCGTTGGGATATAGTTGGGATCTATGTGAGATATACTACAATTGTTGAGTGACATGGGATATATTTGGGGATTAAAACCATCGATCAATGATGATCAATGGGTTTTTGGAGTGACTTTTGTTGGGGTTGCGTGAGCTTTTTTGAGATTTTTGTAGATTCTAGATTGTCAGTTTTTCGCAGTGGATTCTTAGATGTGGAACGGTTTGCTATGGGGATGAAAAGTGAGATGTTATCAGCCAAAATTGCGATTCAACATGATAGATTGTTTGGGGACGCTCCACTTAACGAATGAGGAATGTTTATCAATTTTCACCATTACAATTTGGGATTATATTTAGATTTATATATATAGTATCATAATGTATTATATCATACAATATCACATTATATCTAGTTCACTGAACCAAGCCAAATGATGTCTTGACCCACCACCAGGGTGTATAAAAGAAAACACATGTCTTGTCGAATCAAAACAACATGGGGAGTGAACCAGCAAGAGAGGAAGTGGAACGACTTCACATGAGTATGTCATCGTCATCAGCCAGCAAATGCAAGCAAAGAGTATGGTGGGTGGTTTCAACCAACCTACCAAAAGGATACGGGAGAATTGCCGGAAAACACAAACATCCAACCCGGGTGATCTCTGCGCTCACGACATTGCGGGTGTCTTTTTAAAATAGTGTTTCACCACAGCGCCAAGCAGACTTGCAACTCTGATTTTAATGTTGGGCGCTCTTTTTTTTTGTCGCGCCTCAGTATTTGCATGTGTTTGCACTTCTTTTGTTCCTGGAATAGAAAGTTCCGAGCTATAAGAACCGGATTTCAATGTCATGTCGTTCCAACTTGAAGGAACCACTCGAGCACTGCGCCAGTGAAATTCATCAGATTCTCACCTGTAAAAAATTACTTTACTTCGTGTGATCCCCACCATGACATTTATACATTTTCTTATTGGCAAATCTTCTGGCATTCTATCTGACATATCTTCTGACATTCTATTTGGCATTCTATCTGGCATATCTTCTGGCATTCTATCTGGCATATCTTCTGGCATATCTTCTGGCATTCTATCTGACATATCTTTTGACATTCTATTTGGCATTCTATCTGGCATATCTTCTGGCATTCTATCTGACATATCTTCTGACATTCTATTTGGCATTCTATCTGACATATCTTCTGACATTCTATTTGGCATTCTATCTGGCATATCTTCTGGCATATCTTCTGGCATTCTATCTGACATATCTTCTGACATTCTATTTGGCATTCTATCTGGCATATCTTCTGGCATATTTCTGGCATTCTATCTGGCAAATCTTCTGGCATTCTATCTGGCATATCTTCTGGCATTCTATCTGACATATCTTCTGGCATTCTATCTGGCATATCTTCTGGAATATATTCTGACATATCTTCTGGCATTCTATCTGACATATCTTCTGGCATATATTCTGACATATCTTCTGGCATATCTTCTGGCATTCTATCTGGCATATCTTCTGGCATATCTTCTGACATTCTTTCTGACATTCTTTCTAACTTTCTTCTGCACATTCTTTGTCCCATATCTTCCCACATGAGGTCCGGCAGGGAACACTTGGCGTGGATACTCGCGGTTGAGGTCCGGCAGGGAACACTGGGCGTGGATGGTCGTGGTTGAGGTCCGGCAGGGAACACTGGGGTGGTTGAGGTCCGGCAGGGAACACTGGGCGTGGATGGTCGTGGTTGAGGTCCGGCAGGGAACACTGGGCGTGGATGGTCGTGGTTGAGGTCCGGCAGAGAACACTGTGGATCGCGGGTCGCAGGTGAGCAAGGACGACGAGGACGACGAGGACGACGAGGACGACGAGGAGGACGAGGAGGAGGAGGAGAGGAGGACGAGGCAGGAGGAGGCGGAGGAGGAGAAGGAGGAGGAGAAGGAGGAGGACGAGGAGGCAACTGACATAAAATCTAACAACCCTCACCTGGCAGGTGGGGAAAAATGTATATAGGCGTCGCAGCTCTGATGGTCTGACAGCATCCCAATTTAAATGTGGATAAATGAGAAGTTAAACATGTTAAACTCTAACTCCATAGCCATTTCATCTGGTTGGTGGTATACCTACCCCTCTGAAAAATATGAGTTCGTCAATTGGGCTTATTATTCCCAAGATATGGAAAGTCATAAAAGCCATGTTCCAAACCACCAGCCAGTCATGATATACATGGAAGATCAGATTCAAATGAAGTAAGTCATGGCCGGGATGGGCGTTGACTCCGTTGACCGCGCTGCCTCAATGAGACCCTTCTTGGAGGCTTCTTGCGCCAGTGATACCTCGGTGACGTAAGAAATCTCTGGACAAAAAACGATGGATTTTCGGATGTTTTCTGGGTAAATTAGAATATTTCACTAATCTGAAATAAGGCCATTTTGGGATGATTCCTCTTACTAACCATGATTCCAGTGAGGTCGCAGTGAGGTCGTTATAATTTACCCAGATGTTTTGGTATGCTTTAACTAATTGGTGGGAAAAATGATGGAGTTCGTCAGATTGGATCATCATCTCAACTATTGGGGAAAATAAAACATGTTCCAAACCACCAACCAGTTTAATGACCATGTTTCACATCTAATAACCATCTTAATGACCAGATTAACATCGATTCACACCCATCTAACTTAGAATCTTAGATGTCAAAATGTCAAAGTTGAGTCTTTAAAAGGTTTAATGATCATGTTTTAAGACATGGCTTTAATGACATCAAAAATCAAAGGACTTCAGAAGCTATGATACTCACATCCTAAGAGGTCATATGATGTCCTGGGTCTCTCAACAAAAAGAGTGGTGCTGGTCCCATAGCCATCTCATGGTTTCATTTATGTTTATATATCTGAAATATGTGTTTATGTCATTTTATAATTATATCATGTTGTATCGTGTTACCTGAAATATGTGTGATATCTCCGATGGCTATGGTGTGCGCCCGTCTCAGGATTCCTGACATCTCGTGGACGCTGGGGCAAATCCGCTCCAGGTTTGAAAGCGAAAACGGCAAGAATCGATCGAAACCAGCTAGTTGTGGGTTAGGCATTCAACCCTTTTACCATCTGGTCATTTAACAGTTAGCCATGGAAAATCACCATTTTTAATAGGTAAACCATCTATAAATGGGCAATTTTCCATGGCTATGTTAAATAACTAGAGGGTAAAATCTTTTAAACACACCCAATAATATCCGCATGACTTGCTTGAACCATACCACTTATTGAAATGAAAGAAAGCATGTTGAAATCGACCCCACCAGTCACCACCCCCGATTCCTCCGATCTCTAAAACGGAAAAGCTGCCCCATACCGTGCATCTCCGAGTCGCATAGGTGGCTACGCTGAAATTCAGACCCATCTTATGCCCATCTTCCACAATGGATTTGGAAAAGTCCAACTTGCCTTTGATCCCGGTCACTGAGAGGTGAACGGGAAAGCTATGGGGAGCTTGGATGCACAGCCGGAACAGGAAATGAACGCCATGTTAGTATACGGTAAGACTCCAAATATCTCCAAATGCCGCAGTGGTGGCTGTTCAACAAGAATGTCATCTAAATATATCTTAATGTAAAGTCTAATAGCACTCGCCTTTCGAGGCAACAACCCTTGCCAGAACGTACGCAGAACAGCTGCAGCATTGGGTTATTTTGGGATAACCCAAAATTCAGGATCCTTCACGGAGACGGGTGAGGCCGTTAGGAAGTTCACCCAGATTGGTGGAAATCAATCTATCATCTTGGCGTATCTGAAGTATGAGGGGGTTAGATTCGATCCCATTTATTTCCCATTTGTTGGCGATATACCTCCGTTTACATATATATATATATTAATCCATTGATGGTTGATCAAGATTGGTTTCAATTCACGCAACTGCGGATGTAACTGCCGATAGTTTTTTTGGGGGGGCAAGCCTAGGACTTGGGGATTTAGCAAATTTACCAACCAGGATCATAAACCAGGTATTGATTGGTGTCCCAACCCTTCAAGTATGGTTGATGAATGTTGATGAATTCCCCCGCTTTTTGGCGGACAAACATGTTGCATGACTAGGGCGTCCCCCAGTCATTGAAGGTTATTGGATGGAAATCAAAGGTTCGATGGAAGCCTCACAATCATCATAGTGGTTTCCTGACTTACTCGTTGATGGAAATGGTTCCCCAAGTCATTTGAGGGTTTCTACCATTTCCCCAGTCATTCTTAACCATACCCTATCAATCCATATCAATTTCCCATTCTGTTCCCTAACTATCCCGCAACTTATATATATATATGTCCGGTCAACATCCCATTAGTATCCCTGTCAAACCATTGTGTTTCACTGCCCCTCGGGTCATTTGTTACAACAATGGATGGCAAATGGCTGAACTCCCCATACATCCCGAGATTATTTAGAAGAGATGGAAAACTCTGGATTCCCGAAGATCTTCTTTACTACTTGCTCGTTGGTGGTACACCTACCCCTCTGAAAAATATGAGCGAGAGGCAGTTGGGATGATTATATATTCCCAATATATGGAAAACTAAAAGCCATGTTCCAAACCACCAATCAGATCCAATCAGATTGATATATTTACAACTCTCCCTACCCCAAAATCAGACCCAATCTCGCCTTTGCGCGCTGCAGCAATGGCAATGCCCGCCAGCGAGCTGTTCGTCAGGCGCACGGACCTCTGCTTGGCAGCGCTGTACCAACGCGAGGCCGCCACCTCATCACCTGCACCAGGGATGGACCCCAAGACCCCAGGGACACTGGGAGAGTCCAAGATTTCCACCTGCAAAACACGGTAGAAACCAGGTGAAAATGAGGATTCAACTGTGAAATTGCTGGGAAGAATGATAATTTCACTGACCAAACTGGGTGACCAAACTGGGAATTGAATTGACAAACATGGATTGACACAAGTAGGGATTTATAAAGTGGGGACCGAACTATTCTGGTCCCCTGGACAATCAATTTGGCTTAAAAAAATGGGCCAACCACCCCAAATCCATTGGCAAAATTCCCTTGTCAAATGGCCATGACTTTGGGGTATGCTCGATGGGAGAGCCATTTTTGACACAGGTCACCCAAAATGGCCACCCAAATGCATCCACCAGGGCCACATTTGCATCCACCAAGGAGCCGTTTTGCAGCAGCATGGTCAGCAACAGGGTCCTGGGAAGCGCGACAGTCAATTTTGTGATCAAACCTGGCAGGTCGAAACATTCACCCGTTTTTAGGGAATTATCCTCTGGTTGTTTAACGGTTGGCTCAGGCAAATTGCCAATTTCTAGATGATTTGTGATGATTTACCTATTAAACAGAATTAAACATTGTGATTTTCCATAACCACGTTAAAATACCATAGGGATCCGTATAAAGAAAAGGCATCTGCAAATGGGTTGTTGAGGGCAAAAGAAGCGGAAGATACTGCCAGGAATCCGAACAAAACAAGCTGCTTGGATGATCGTCCAACGTGATCTGCCTAGTCATCATAAACCTCATGAATCTTACAACTTCAATCTGGGACATACCCAAGCAGAATTACTTGTCGGCCAGTTGCTAGTTCAGATTGGTGTCCCAATTACCCCGAAAAGCCCAAAGCCATCAGGTCGATTGCCGTGCTGTACAATGGCCGTGTTTAAAATCATCGAATGGGACGGAAAATGACTGAATTCATCAGAAATTCCCATATGGGATAGTTATTTCATGTTAATTCATGGATAAATGGGAAAATATGGGAAAATCATCTACAAGTGGCTCATTTTCCATGGGTGAAATTACCAGAGCGTAGATGAAACGTGATACTCCTATGGGGGGACGCCAAAAACAATGTCGCTTGAGGATTGAGTAACATCGGCGAGAGTCAGCATCGCGCTATCAGGCTGTATACCTTTGGTCAAGGCCACTTGAAACCAGTGTTCAGTGGCATTCAAGTCGTTTCGATTGGCAGCAGCATTCATCAGGATGTTAAAGGTCTTGATGTTCCTCGGTAACCGGCAATCCGATCGTGCCATCCAACCATGGCATTGAAGTTCTGTGTCAACTGAATGTTTCATCACATCCATTGTGGCAAGGTTCTCCCAGTCGAATGCTTCATCACTTACTGGTTATTAAAGGATCTATTTTTGTTGGTAGGAAAGGCATTCCCTGCCAAATTGTTCGTTCAAGAGCCATTGTTTTTTGCTCAAAATTCACTTTGATCCTCAGTATTTTCAAACGCAACCAACATCAAAATCCTTTGCATTGTTTGAAAACTCACAGCTTGTTGCTCAAACCATACCCCCCATTCTTTGGGCGGCTAAAATCGGAACATCTTCACGAAATGATCTACACTTTGCTGGCAAAATTCCTATTTTGTTTGAAAAATGATGATTCATCCCAATTCTGAAGCGTCAAAGTACGCCTTTTTGCATTGTCTTGGAAATCATGATCATTCTAGGCAAAATGTTTATAGGGTTTTCCAGGATGTTAACGCTAAAACGTCTTAAACTCTAGACTCTAGACATTTTGCCTCGCAGGATCATTTTCTTTGAGATCAAGCTTTCATATTTCCAATGTCTCTCCCCTGGCATTTGGTTGTGAGTCAAAACCCTGGCACCCGGATGGTCCCTAAAATAGCTGGTTAATGGATGTTGATTCTTCCAAATATGGTAATAATAGGTTTTGACCCATCCCCATTTCCCATCCATGTCTCGGGCTGCTCCCTGAAGCTTCACAGCGGCGAAACCAGCGCTCGATAGCGGCGCCTTTCGCCTCTGCATCTGAAGAGCGGCAGGCGGCGCTCAGGATGGTGTTGAAGGTCACGATACTGGGCTTCCCCACCTGCTCACACCTGAATCATCCATTGGAAGAACGTGAGTTTTCCATATTGGCAAATGTTTAGGCAATATGTTCTGGAGATATTCCCTCAAAAATAGCCCTTACATAGGCCTTATATATGGAATCGGTACCTCCGTCCTCAATCGGTACCCCAAACTGCATGACCATCACCAGATTTGGTGATCCACGCGTCAACGATCGTCAGTTTGTTGGCGTGAAAGAGGACCGTTTACGCTGTGATGACCTAATCTGGCACTAGACAACATCGCGTTTTTGTAGATGATACCCTCTGGTAAACTAACATAACTATAGAAAACCACCATTTTTTATGGGTAAATCAACTATAAATGACCATTTTCAATGGCTATGTTAGTTTACCAGAGGGTACTGTGGATGGGCCAGCGAAATCCTACATCACCAAAAGGATGGTTGAAAAAGTTGAAACCCAAACAAAATCATGGGATAAACCACTTGTCGGTGCAGGATTTCGCAACCATCCACCGTATTTCTATTGGAAGTATAGGGAAGATATCGGGATCATCATCTAGCGGTTTCAACTCATCAACACACGACACGCCCATTTTTAGATCATGATGGATAAATCAATGTATATATATACATATCATAACCCCTCGTTGATAGTTATGAACCAATTTAGCATAATCTAGCTATATAATTAACTCTCCGACTATGTCATAATGTGTCACCACCTGGTACTTCAGCCTATTATGATTGTCATTCCTACAACTTACGCGGCTGCTTTTCCACTCCGCCTCTGAAACCACTCCTCCGCAGCGGAGAGATTTCCAGCACCTGGTGTCGCATCTGGTTATTCAACGCTTTGCAAACTGGAATCCATCACCATTCTTAATAAGTAAATCATCATGTCTATCATCTATTTGAAAATGGAGAGGCTTAGCGGCTAAGTACGAAAAATGATGTAAACTCATATGTTTACCAACTTTTTGTTCCATTGGTGCCCTATTTGTTCCATTTAAGCGATGGTTACATCTACAGCATCATTGTTCCGTGTTCCACGGAGAACCAGCCCAACCATTCGTAGCAGAACACCTTTCTCGCCATCTTTCCGCATTCAACTCATTCAACAAAAACGGTCCATGTGTTCCGACTTGATGCAATTTTTTGAAATGACATCATAATATATATGATACATATATGTATATATACACTATATATATATGTTGTATATGTATATGTATATATATATATATGATATTTAGACAAACAAAAAAGCGCGTCAAGCAGGTTCCCTTCAAACATATGGTGGGCGAATGTCAACCACGATTATTCCGGAGTTTACCTCGCTTCAAAGTGATACAAAATTATAGAAAGTGATCACCAATCTGTCATTTATCCGACTATCATCCCAACAACCATCATCCCAATCCTAATTTTATATACCCCTACCAAATCTTGTTTCCTCTCTTGGATTTTCCTTCAAAAAGAGGCACTCTCAAAAAAAAACATGTAAATCAATCGTTGAAAATAAATCAAACAGAGATCAAATTCTTTATATATATATATATGTATATATGTATAGATATTAGTGTATCTATCCAGTTTGGATTATACTATACGTAAATGTTTATTCTTGACTAAAATTCCCCATCAATTCTCCCATTTGGATCCGCACGTGCGGCCGCATCGATCACCGCCGTGAAGATCTGGATGTCCAGCCGCAGCCCGGAGCTCTCGGCTTCTCGGAGCCAGGCTTCGGCGCTCAACAAATCGCCCGTCTGCGCTGAGGCTTTGATCAGCGAGGTGTAGGTGATCAGGGAAGGCTGGAGGCCTGGTGGTACGGTCAACTGGTCCAACCCATTTTTTGGGAGGTCAATCTTTCGTGCCCCAATTTTTTTGGCTGTGAAGGAGCTGGGTCCAATCTGAAATAGCCAAGCTTTCTCCATTGTAAACTATCCAATGGCTCAAAGATATTGACATGTAAATACAGCGGAGACCGAAACTGGCTCAAAATGAGCAGTAAAAATGGCACAACCCAAAAATGGGTGACATATTATATATATATATACATATACACATACACATGGGTATGGGTCAAAATTAGGTACCCCAAAATTATGGATGGTTAATACTAAACTAGACATTCACATCTGTGGTTCCCTAGGTCTTCCATTTATATATATATACAATTATACACATACATAAGCTACTAAGTTACTAAGATAAAGGATCACCTACCTCTGGCCATTCGGAATTAGTACACAAAATCATCCAAGACGATGCCTTAGGAACTGACCCCATCATTTCAGCTTACAAAGGCTCCATCTTTTGATGGGCAAAATAGCCTTTCTGAAGTAACACCCAACAAATCCAACAAATTAAAAGTTAAGAAAAATTGAAATTATGGGGTCTTTGGCGGTTGAATAATTACAATTTTTTGGGGGTTGAATAATTACTTACATAGGTAGTTATTCTACTCCCATATTCTTACAAGAAAGTAAAAGCCGACTCGAATTATGATGATGTTTTTTTGTTCTATCTTTGGGGGTTGCTGTACATGCTTGTTCACAGATCTTCCCTGCGAGAAGTGGTGATCTTATCAAGCGAAATGACGTCGATTTGTACCGCAAGGATGATTAAAACAATAATGTGATTGCATTAATAATAACATAATGTGAGATCATGTGATATACGGTGATATAAAGTGATATAAAGTGATACAATACAATATAATACAATATAATATAATATAATATAATATAATATAATTTTAATATAATATAATATAATATAACATTATATAATATGATACAGGCTCGTATATGGGGTTTTGTAGACAAAAAATACCTATGTAAGAATAATCAAGAATATGGGAGTAGACTTAAGACCATGTGGTAGATATAAGTCAAAACCCAGGATTGAATGCAAGCCAAATTCATGAGTATACCATGGCAAATTCACAATTTGGATCCGATTTACCCTCTGGTAAACTAACATTTTTAATGGAAAATATTGGAAAATCACCATGTTTAATGGGTAAATCCACTATTTCTATGGCCATTTTCAATAGCTTTTTGTATGTTCACCAGAGGGTAGTGATGGTTTTTGATCTGTGATGCTACCAATGCGACTCATGAACAATGCATGGTCCCGGCGAATCCCGGTGAGTAGTGGCTTGCACCCTTCAAAATTCGCCAAAAATCATCGAAAAATCATCGAAAAATCATCGAAAAATCATGTCAATATATGTCAATATATGTCAATCATTAGTCAGTTAGTCAAAATTCATCATCTAAATCTATCTCAATCTATCTCAATCATTTCACTCATTGCCGTTTTGCCCAACCCATAGCCATCCCAATCCCCGCAACGTTCTCCCGCGGCAGCCGCGTCGCCTTCCCGTCGCGCTTCGAAGAACCAGTACTCCGCGGCCGCGGGGCGCCGCGCCAGGGCGGCCGCCTTGATCAGCGCGTTGAAGGCGGCCATCTCTCGACGGATGCCACCTGGGCCAGTGGATCATTCGCTCATTACGTTTAGCACAAGAATAAGGATAGATATGATAGATATATAGATATATGAATACCATCAAACTTAGGGAATGTCATGTCAGTTATATGTCAGTTGATGGGATAGTTTGGGATAGTTGAAAAACATGGTGGGACAGTATTTGGCCGCATGGTTTCAATATGTTTCAATCTATGAATGGAACCAGACAGGTTGAACCTGTAGAGGGCAGCAAACCAAAAATGAAGCGGGGCTTGGAAGGTGCTGGTGAAAGATGGTGAAAGACAATATGGATTATGGGAATGATACTATGGAAAACGATGGCAAGCAAACAAGATGGTGTTCAGGGATTTGAAGCAACAGAATGGGAGAAGAAGCTGCAAAAACTTGGCTTCTTGGAATGGACAACAATGGGGTATATATATATACATTTATATTTATATACGGTTATTAAGCCGGTATGTAATAGTCATGACCAGCATTGACCAGCACCAGCAAACATCTCTCGATCAAGTCATTCAAGATGGGTTTGTGAAAAAACAGCCCCATCTCTGGACAGGTTGGTGGTCTTCCATACCCCAAAACTCTGCGGCTTGCCCTCCAAATCGTCTGATTCCTGGTAACCGGAAGATCCTAGCAAACGAGCAGTTCACGACACATGAACACCAAACTTAGCTGCTATGTGTGGAGAGAATTGATTCAAGTTCTTCATTTCTTGATTCTCCATGTTCAACTTACTGCTGAACGTAAATGGGTGAATGGTCCAAAAAATCACCATTCACATCCATCAACAATCATCGCATTCCCCCATTCCCTACGTTTTTCACCAGTGGTTGAACCCCTCCATCACTGCTCCGTGACTTGCTTCCCCGAAGTCGAAGAAGCGCTCCGTCATCGACAAGTTGCCTGTGGAGCTTGGAGCACCAACCTGCTTTAGACTAACATCAACAGGTTTAGATACTCAGAGTAATACTTTGGTTTAATGAGGCTTATATTTAGATCACCACCCTTAGAGTCACCAATAGCCTAATTATGGCTTAGTTCATTAAAATCATTAAATCTGTTCAACAATCATTACAAGGTCCATTGGGATGTGCTTTGATCCCAAGTACTCACCTATCCCATGATTGAACGCTAAAGTTTAATCCAAATGGCAATGGGAGAAAAAAATGAAAAAAAAAAACACGTGCCAATAGCAAGCCCTAAAGATAGAGAGAACAGCTGAAAACCAATTGTTGTATAGTATTGTGCTAGGAAATTGATACTTTCCTACAGGATGGGGCCCCCCAGTTATAAGTTGGTTTATAAACCATTATAACCACCATTAACTATGGTTATATCTACCATAAGCCATAGTTAAGCCACTTATAAGGCAACTTAGCTATCTTGGGGGCCCCATCCTGTGCTGTATCCTTTTTGGGGGCCAAAAAAACCACGTTGGCCACACCTTCCGAGGCAGCAGCGTCCATCAGAGCCACAAGAACGGAGGGGTTCACATACCTGGCGTCACAGCAGCGTTTGGGGTTTTTTTAAAGCCCAAAAGATCCGGTTTCAAAAATGAATCGTTTCCAGCAGCCTCATTTTGTGAGTAAATCATAGTAAATCATAGTAAATCTCATTTTGTGAGTAAATCATAGTAAATCGAAATTGAATGGGAATGCGAAAAGAAACCCCAAATTCGATTATAATTCCCGGCCTTTCAGCGTCCTCGGCTCGTTTCAACCACCTTCAAAAGCTACCCGCGGAGACGGACCACTGCCATGTCTGGTTTAAACTTTAAATGACAATGTTTAGATGTTTTTTCTCAGGATCCTTACTTTCAGAGTTTCTTCCATGAAATTTGGATGATCTTCATGAAAATCGAAGGACATATGTCTTTTATACATCACAGTATTAACTAAAACAATACTAAAACCATATTCAGCCTCATTGCTGCTACATTGCTAGGTCTTGAATCTTTGGTTTCAGGTGTTTCTTCATCAAAATCAATATTTTTTTGAATTTCAGAGCATGTCTAGTTGTCTTAAATGTTGTCAATGTGTTTGGCTAATGGTGGATATATCAATTTCACTTCAGTTCAAGGAGACCCCATTTTCACAAACAGTGCAGGGCGCGGCACGACACCAAGAAGACCACCATCTCATCCAATTGGCAAAGAAAAACGGTCGACTTGTTGGTGTCTCCCCAAACAAAGCTAGTTGGTGGTTTTAACATGTTTTAACCATCTTGAAAAATATGAAAGTCAATGGGAAGGATGACATTCCATATATGAAATGGAAAATAATCCAGCCGTGTTCCAAACCACCAACCAGTGATTAACCATGATTAACCATCATTAACCATCATTAACCATTATTAACCATCATTACCCCATACTAAACCACTTTTCAGGCCGCTTTGTAACTCCAAAAACAAACCGCCTTTCCGCGAAGACCAGATCTCGATTGCTGGCCGCAGCCATCAGCACCGATTCGTAGGTGCTCACATTTGCGGGCTCGGCAGCGAAGGAAAAGAAGCGGTCCACCAGATCCAGTCGGCTCGCGTCCAAGGCCTTAAACGCGATACGCATGGCCTTCAAAACGCAAACACAAAAGTGAAAAAGAAACGGCGATAAGAAACCGAGAATCAGAAAGTAAGATGAGTGTAGATATTGATATATATATATAGAGAGAGAGATGCGGTATATATTATAATATATATATATATACAGTGTGTGTATATATATATATCTACACATGTATATTCGTAAGATTTAGTAAGTGGGTCTACCATGGTCTACCCATCTGTTGTAAAAAGTTTTGCTTCCGCAGTCCTTCACGACAATCTCAGCTCTTTTTTGCAGGTCAAATCTCTTTTATAAAATCGTGACAGCAATCGTATGACCTTCTACGATTGCAATGTGTGTATGTCTGAAAATGGGGTATACCCCCAATTATAGCCATTTAGTAGGGATAATGATCATTATCCATTGGGTGTAGGGGTACACTATTTTCAGACAAACCCATGTGATCTACAGCACTTTTTCTTTTTTGCTCTCCCAAGACATGGAACATCTGTGGAAGTTGGGGATGGCTTCCTCGTGGACATCCAGTACCGGCTGGTAATTTAACAGAGCTAGTTTGGAAATAAACAGGTTGAATTAGATGATTCCCCTACTAAAATGCTGATTTTCCATAGTTATGTTAAATTACCATACTGTGGATGGAAGAAATCGTGCACCAGTTGATAGGTGGTTTATCCCATTATTTATAGGACCGTAGGGTAAGATGCAGCTGCAGTTGCCTGAGATAAGAGTTTGATCTGCAAAGTCTTGTCCAGAGCTTCACCTCAGTCGTCAGAGTTTTGGCAAAACCAGCGAGCAAAAAACACTTGTTGCTCCGAGCAACAAAAGTGGGGATATCCCAAAATCCACATGTTTTTGTGCCAGAATATATGATAATGATGATAATGTATACATACATATATATCATATACATGTATGTAGTTCTGGATAATGTATGTTGCATCCCATTTGTTTGACCAGTTCGGGAGATTCTTCCCCATGATCATCATGAGGTCAGCCATGAGGTACAAATTATCCACCAGGACACCCAGCGATATTACTAGGGTGGATCATGGTGATTCAATGGTGTTTTAATGGTGATTAAATTGGTGATTACCATCTGGTTATGACTAACACAGCCATGGAAAATCACCATTGGTTAACCATCTATAAATGGGCCATTTCCCATGGCTATGTTGAATAGCCAGAGGGTAATTGTTGTTTTGGGGGATCACTAATCATGATACACAGTCAGCAATCTGATATTTGGGTGTCTCTGTAAAAACAACAAAAAAAATGCTGATTTTCCTTGGGAAGATGATTAACTCAGGATCACCCCAGTTGCCATGTACATCAATTCATAAGAGCACAGCGCATCCTTCAAGATATGGAGGTGTCCTAAAATGGTGGGGTACCCCAAAATGGATGGTTCATAAGGGAAACTCCGACTAAAGTGGATGATTTGGGGGTACCCCCATTTTAGGAAACCTCCATATAGTCACCAATGAGTTTATCGAATGGTAGACTGATGCCTTGCAGCCTTCCAACTATGATCAACTATGTATATCTTGGATTATGCCTCAACACACATTCCAGTCACAGCCACGATCATCACTGGCTTTGGAATGGGTTCTGGAAGATGAACTTTCTCCTAGGAATCGCGATATAATTTGGGGTTCCAGGTTGGCTTTATTTGGGGCTGCATTGCCAACCCGGATTTATAAACCCTGACCATGAAAAAAGGGGAAGTTACCAGAATCACGTGTGACAAAGTATCAAAGTTACTACCCCCCAATAAATAGACTGGGGGTGCTATGTACATACGTGTGTATTATATATATATATACGTATGTATATATATATATATATGTACACACACACATATATATATATATATATATACGTATATGTGTGTATATGTATATGTATGTATATGTATATATATATCCTAGGCCAACAGTATCCCAATTCTAACCGTTTAGCTTCCTTCAAACAGCAACAGCAACGGCCATGTTGGCGTCCAAAGCACCCAATCGAGCAGCTCTCTCACCATAGTTCGCCGCGGCACTCCTGGGAAGCGCGTCCGGTGCGGTGGATGGGGCAGGATGGGGCCACGGGATGTTTCGGAGGTTTCCGAAGTCATAGGGGTACCCCCAGTCATCATCCATGTTACCCTCTGGTGAACTAACAATTTGCAATGGAAAGATCCACCATTTTTCATGGGAAAATCCACTATTTCTATGGCCATTTTCCATTGCTATGTTAGTTCACCAGAGGGTAATAGTATTTAATTGATTTAATAGTATTTAAACGTATTTAAACCATGAAATAAACCATCCAGCTAGTGGGGTACCCCATTTTAGGAAACTTCCATGTCTATCCATACATGTATACCCATCCCATAGTAAATCATCATAATACGCAAGCTGGGCCGTCCAGTCTGAAAAAGAACCCAGGAATGGATGACAAAAATATGAAAATCAAACAATGAATTGCTGGATGCTGTACCTTATCCAGGATTCCAGGCTTCCATATGTGATTATGTGATATTCTATATATCTGGTTGGTGGTATACCTACCCCTCTGAAAAATGTGAAAGTCAGTTTGGGATGATGAAATTCCCAATATATGAAAGAATAAAATTCATGTTCCAAACCACCAACCAGATACCCTCCGGTCATCAAATGTGGCAATGGAAAAATCCTCCGTTTATCGATGGATTTTCCTACTAAACCCATGTATTACGGGTATTTTCCAGCCAGCCACGTCTGATCACCGAAATATACCTACTTTTTTTCGAAAACGAAGATATGGTGGCTTCTTAAAACAGGGGAACAAAAAAAAAGCATCGGTTTAACAGTTTCAGTTTCAAACATGGTCATCCTATGTTAAATCATGACTTGATCCCCTAATGAATGGTCATTCTGATCACCTAATGGGTCATCCATGACTTGAAGGATTCACCCTCGGCTAATTTAACATAGCTATGGAAAATGGCCCATAGAAATAGATGATCTACCTATTGAACATGGTGATTTTCCAGTTCGCAAACTGTTAGTCATTACCAAAGGGTAGGGGATACCCCCAGCCACTGGGATTTGGCAGCCACCAGCCGCCAAACCAAGCTTCAGTTCGCCGGATTTGGAGGCTGCCAGACATAGAAAGCTGAACATTCGCCTCAGATCTGGAAAAATGACCTGAGGCTATGGCAAAGTCGGCATTTTGTGCCAGATTCATTTGGTAAAATCCAAAGTGATGAACAGACGTATTATCGTAAAGAGCTCTCAAAATAATATGTCACTTTACTTTTCTATCTTTTGGACCCAAGTTACTATATACTTAAGACCTAAATTACTTTTCTATCTTTATAGTACTAATACATATCACTATTATATCACTATTATATGCCTAGACCTAAGTGACCTTTCTATCGAAGGTTGCTGGACAGATCCACAAGCCATTCGTTGCTTGGTGACGGTTGCTTGGAAGATGATTTCCAACCGGTACCAGGAGACCCAAGACATGCTAACCCTCCGGTGAAAATGGATGAAAATGGTCCATTGATAGATGATTTACCATCTGGTTATTTAACATAGCTATTGAAAATCACCATTTTTAATAGGTAAACCGTAAACCATCTATAAATGAGCCATTTTCCATGGCTATGTTAAATAACCAGAGGGTAACACACAAAAAACATCTTCTCTCAATGTCACGACCTAGAGCCCCCAAGCATCAAAATTTCTGGCATCACTTCGATAATTTGTGTAGTTCCGTCTCATTCCGATATTGATAGGGAAGCAGCATCTTTGCCGACTATATTCCAATATATATTTGTATATATAGCCATTGATTATTTTCCCAGCCAAACACGCCTCTTTGATGATGCTTTAGTGCATCTCCTCTGTTGATAAGCTCTCTACACTACATAAGCATATATGGAGATAGACGCTTGTGTCACCCATCTGCCACAACAGACTTGGTTGCTTCTCTCTTGGAGGGTAGTAGAAATCCTGGGATTATCCTCTGGTAAACTAACATAGCTATGGAAAATCAGCATCTTTAATAGGGGAATCAACTTTAAATAGCCAATGTTCAATAGCTATGTTAAATTACCAGAGGGTATCTAATGCCGTATCTAATTGTTCCTTTGAACATCAATACCCGGCCTCAAAAAAAACTGGTGGCAAAAGATCAAAGTAAGTTTCACCAAGGCTCAATGATTGCATCCCAATTACCCATTGCATCTTCATGACATCACTACTACCTTCCTACTGTATCCCCATTATATCCCCATGTTCAGTGGTTAAATATGGTGAAATCCCTATATATATATATACGTAGACATATTGGTTGACCCCTTGGAATAATATCCAATACCTTTTGGTTATTTAACATTATAGCGGTGGACAATGGCACACTTATAGATGATGTTCTTTCTCCATAGCTGTTACTACCAGGGAAATGATTTGAAGTAGTAGGTCCTGTGCCATCCGGTAATCTAACATAACTATTGAACATCCCCATTTATGGATGACTGACTTATCTCTAATCCCTTGATATACCCTCTGGTTATGTCAACATAGCTATTGAAAATGATCATAGACATAGTTGATTTATGTTGATTTACCTATTATAAATGGTGATTTTCCAGTTCGCAAACTGTTAGTTTACCAGAGGCTATCGGTTTCTGACCCAATGTGCCAAGCGTCCCGTTTGGCTCCAACTTGGCGTTCTGCGCGTTGGAGAACCAGCGCTCGGCCGCGCGCAAATCTCCACGTTGCGCGGCCTTTTCGATGAAGTTGCCTGAAAAAAGTGGCTGAATTCTATGGTTTATGGTAGATATAACTATAGTTAATGGTGGTTATAATGGTTTATAAACCAACTTATAAACCAATAGAATTGGATGATGGGAACTGGTTTAAGCCCTATATTTGATGGTAAAAACCCATGGGTTTCCTGTTAAGATTTTCCCTCAAACCAATCCAGAGAGCCTAACTTCTCACGGGAGAAACTCATGGTGAGCTGGGCCCTGGGCGCCCTGGGCCCTGAGAGGGCTGGAAATGTACCATCTTGTGGAGCTGTTGTCGCTCATCTATGGAGATTGAATAGGCGAGCGTATGAGAGTCTAGGGAGATTTTATGGTGCTTGTATGGGAATGCCTTAGAGATATTATGGGTATATTCAACCATATATATACATACATATATATATATATTAAATATGATGAGATGCACACGTTGGCAGGCAAAAAAGGACCTATGTAAGGTGGCACAGCATCCATTAGCCGTTTGGGGATTCAACCATCACAAAAACGGGTGTATTTTGCCTCACAGATATATGGAGATCATTGATACATTACCATTGATTGATGATTACAGGGGCGTATATTGTAGGGGCTTACACTATCCTTTACTATCCTTCACTATATATATATGTGTGTGTGTGTATCCGCCAACCATTATTTAAGATTTTCGATGTACATCCTTGACACCGCTCAAAGTGGTGGCTCAGAAATGAGGGTTCTATCAACCAACACTGGTGGTGGTATAACAATCTTGTGCGGCCTGGGGCTGTAGGTGATCCAAAGTGGGGTTGTCTATTTCACTTTTACGCAAGCTGGTGCCCCCGCCCAAGTTATAATTTTGTTTATAAACTAAACCATAGTAGCTATATCCTCCATCCACCCTAGTTACCTAGTCATTATAGACCAAGTTTGCGAACTATGGGGCAATGTGGGGCAGCACTTTTACAGGCGCCCAAGATGCTATAGAAGGTCAGGTCCGGCTCAAATCCTGGCCATCCAGGGGCGCTTCAGTTCCACATAATCCAAGGTTTTCTCATAAGGCTTAAATCGGCATTTTTCTTTCAACAGAATCCACATGTTTGTTGATCTGGTTGGTGGTTTTTCGCCCTACCCCTCTGAAAAAATGATGGAGTGAAAGTCAGTTGGGATCATTAAATTCCCAACTGAATGGAAAGTCATAATCCAGCCATGTTCCATTATTGATTATTATATCCCATTATATCCCATTAAAAACACCATGAAATCCCATTAAAAAGTCATGTTCCAAACCACCAAGCAGTGATTTAGAGTGATCAACAAAGATTGTTGGCGAAATCTCAGCCTTTGCCATGATTCAATCCACAAAAATTGGTTTAATTAACTTGCATAAGGTACATCAGTGGTTGATGTTGTTTCACTTACTATATGTACAGCAAAAAAAAACTCTTCAATGGATTTTGAGGCAAAATCGCCGGAAATTGTCCCTGACCCTCTGGTAAACATACAAAAAGCTATTGAAAATGGCCATTGAGTTCCTTGATTTAGCCATTAAAAATTGTGGACCTTTCCATTGACCTTGGTTTCAGCCCAAAACATAACCAGAAATCCCTTGCTGCACTCCCTCGCAACGTTCTCCTGCCACATTCAGCTCCAGGAACCAACGTGGCAAACCATCGTCAGGACCTTCCTGCACCCGTGGCGAACCCAGGGATCGAAGCACAAATCTATGGATTCTTATGGATTATAGTGGTGAATAATGATTAATACTTGTTAATCATAGGGATTTTATTTATGGATGTTTTATTTTAATGGTGATGAGTGGTGAATAATTTGAATAATGGTTAATGATAGTTATTATAAATAATACCATTCATCGCCATTATGGTTTTCATGATTATCATGGTTATCATGGTATTCCATTTTAATAATGGTTAATGATACCCTCTGGTAAACTAACCTAACTATGGAAAGATCCACCATTTTCAATGGGTAAATCCACTATAAATGGTCATGTTCAATAGCTATTTTGACATAACCAGAGGGTAATGATTCATAATGGTGATGAATGGTATACCAATCCTCTGATTTCATCGTGGATCGCTGGGAAATCCCCTGTCCAGCAAGCCACGGTTGTGGCAGCCGCGTTGGGTAACCATTGGGGGTTCAACTAGAAACGCTTCGAATCCGGTCGAAGAAAAATTTCTGGGTTGGGGGTTGGTTTGAGCCTACCCCTCTGAAAAATACGACTTTGTCAGTTGGGATGATGAAATTCCCAACTGAATGGAACAATAAATTTTCATGCTCCAAGGCACCAACCAGATTTGATTTGAACTTGTGATTTGGTCTAAGTGTTCTTGTTAAGTGGCTGAACTCCTAGAATTAATGAATTAAACTGAGTCTAACTGTTCTTGTTAAGTGGCTGAACTCCTAGAATTAATGAATTAAACTAAACTGAGTCTAACTGTTCTTGTTAAGTGGCTGAACTCCTAGAATTTTCATGGTTAAACCATTCGTAGCTGGGGTTTAACCAGTGGGGTCTACCAGTTTTATAAGAAAATATGAAAGCAATAGCTAGCACTGCACACCTATACCTATGGACAATATGTGGATCAACAATAACTAATCCATTGCGTAAATGGACAATAATGGTGATTATGTTCCATTTAAGTATTGGACAGGAATAATTGTTAATACCCAGTGTTATAATAGTTTTGAACATTATTGGCAAATGGAATGTTCAAAGTATAATGCTGTCCAAAAATGGAGTTTAATATGGTTTAATGATGGGGTCCATATACCCAGTCCACTGGCAATAAAAATGGTGTCCACTATCCAACCGAGTTAAACAAACAGACGCTGAAATATATTGAGCCAATAGTGAGCAGCTACTCCTCATCATTATCACACAGCTCTGAATGGGATTAATTGAAAATAGGGCAACCCACAAGCTCATGTATGATCATGATATCGACCATTGGATGTGTGAAGGGGTCCCCGAATCGAGGATTGAAGAGGCTATTCCAAGCAGACAACCCTGGATCAATAAACCTCAGTTTATCAATAGGTCCAAATAGTGATAAATTACTTTCAAATTTGGTACCGCCCTGTGAATTAACATGGGTTTATAAGCTTATCAATCTGTGGTTAACATAGTTGTGTTTACTGGTCCTAAAGCAATCTTTCCTATCACACGCTTTTGGTTTAGAAGATTCAACTCTGTCCGGTCACAACTCTGAGCAGATGACAACGACGCAAGCCCCAGGTTTCAAAAGTTGTCGGAAGCATCATTCAACCAACTCAACCAGCATCCTGAGACCAAAACCTGGAGACCAAAGAGGTCCCAGCAGGCTTGAGTGATTCATTTCCCTTGTTCTATCTTTTTGGTGCTTGCTATACCAAAATAGGCTCATGGGCTCTGGCTGCCAATTTATTTCGGTTCGAGTTAGAGCCTCACATTTCTAGTTTAACATTGTTTAAGCTTCGAGTTTTTCGAGCCTCATTAGTGCTAAAAAACCATAGTTTCACCACCTTCACCACCATAGTTTTTCTGTGATTTATCACAGAAAAACTTCCCCGAACCCACCGCCTTCAGCAATTTCTTTCCACCTTCTTCCTGGCGACGGCAAGAACGCCAAGGTTTCATGGGGATGATCACAAAGCATATACGTAGTGTAGATATGAGGGTACAGGTACCATAAACAAGCACCAAAACCACAGAAAATATACGGTAGATATGTATTTTGGATGCCTTTTTTAGTGATTTGTCATCATTTTAGGGCTATCACCATTTCAGGAGACCTCCATATATTGTCATAGCTAGAATTTTAGCAGATAATTTCAACCGACACTTAAATCACTAGAATTTGGTGTTAGATAGTTGTTCGAAAATTCAACAGTCTATCTACTTCAGGATGATTAAACACATATATTGTAACCCCAAAAAAAATAGCAATGGTATAATTTACCACTATTTCTTGTAGTATTTCAAATTCGATACATGTCTCTTTCTTTTTGGCAGTTGAAAACATGGAATGAAACTCCCAAATTTTGAGATAACCCCATATCTTTCTTGGGGAGGGTAGAGGAAAAATGTCCAGGATACATTTTCACTGGGAGGATATCAGATCGCTGACTCGAACTGGCAACTCTACTGGCGACCCAAAGTTCCCACATTTCCCATGCTTTTATCATCTTTCCCATGTTTCTGGCCATGGATAGACGTCATTTTCTGTCATATCCCTATCCCATCTCATGAAATACTAGCTGGTTCATTGGTTTTCCTGCTCTGGGTTATCATAATCCCCAATAAATTTGGTCCTGTAACTCCCAATTCACCTTTTTGACCAGTCATTTATCAATGATATCCCCATGGATTTTTCCGCAGTTTGGTGCCAAAAAATCCAGAAAAACCCATCAACAGAGGTATTTCCACTGGTTCCCACTGGTTCCCAGCACCCTTCCCTGGTCACCATCAACCGAGTTTCCCAGTCACCGGCTTCAGATGGGTCGTTGATGGGACGGGGCGTTGGCAGGGTGATCTTGTCGTCTTCCAGGCCTGGCGCTGCGGCGCCAAATCGTCCCAGAATCATCAATTTATATGTGGGTCAAACACACAGTGGCTTTGGAAAATGGTGGTTTAATGGCATTTAAATGGGATTTAAATGGGATAGCGGGTTATAACCAACTCTTGGTCTACTATTGGGATTAAACCATCCATATTTTGATGGTTTATATACCACTTGTTTATGGCAAACTTGGGGATGGTGGATCATTCTGCTTGACAAACACTCTTGAACTCCCACAGGTTTTCGGCCTTTTCTCAATCAAAATGAACCCCAACTTGGCGAAATCAGGGTTGCTTTCGAGTGGTGATCTCCCTATTCACCTTGGAAAACAACTGGCAAACCCGACAAACTAGCCACATTATTTTTACAATTGGGGGTTATGAAAAGCCAAAACATGCCAAAACCAGAGCCCCCCAAAAAAATGGGAGTTATGGCACGGTGTTTAAACTGTAAAAGTGTTGGCAACTATCTAGACCAGGATGGCGGTTCGCCCAAGAAATTGTGCACCAAACAAACAATGCCGTGTTGAATGATTGGGTTTGTTCTTGGGTTTACAGCTTCAGCAAAATTATGGTGTACATCTTGATATAGACATTAAAATATCATACCCTCACGAAAAAACAAATAATGAAAATCCATAAAATACACTGTTGGGATTGTATGTGATTGGGTGGAGCTTGGAGAGATTAAACATTAGTCATTAGTCCGATATTTCTTATGTTTATTGATGTATAGACACATAACATACCTACATGTAATATAATGTAATATTTACTTTAATAAATGTATTAATCTACGATAGAATCCAAACATGTAGTTGGCTGGCGGCTCGTAGAACGCCGCCAGCTTTCGTGTGTTTTCGTGCCTGTGGGGTGGGGTGGGTAATAGCGTTTTGTTCACACTGATTTTAACACGCTCTTGACGCTACACTCTTCACTTCTTCAAGTACCTTCCAACACGCTCTTGATGCGACGCTCTTCACTTCTTCAGGTACCTTCCAACACGCTCTTGATGCGACGCTCTTCACTTCTTCAGGTACCTTCCAACACGCTCTTGATGCGACGCTCTTCACTTCTTCAAGTACCTTCCAACACGCTCTTGATGCTACGCTCTTCGCTTCTTCAAGTAACTTCCAACACGCTCTTGATGCGACACTCTTTATTCTTCAAGTACCTTCCAACACGCCAAACAATGGTTGCACAGAATGTGGACCCCTTCCTCAGGTCCAACTGATGCCTATAGAAATTTGACTCAAGTCCTGAAACGCATGTGAAACAAAGACTTGAAAGTTTGACACAAAAAAAAATGAAAAAAAAAGCGGTTTGTCGCAGGATTTAACAGAGTCAAAAGAAAGGACCCAGACACAAATCCTTGAGGAACCACACGCAAAATGAACTCGCCAAAGTTGGAAAAAAAGGCCGCGTTCTGGGAGCCGCTTACCATGTAGTTTGATTTTGCACATATCTATGTAACATCTCATTAATATCTCTATTAACGCATGACGTTTCACTGATCTGGATAAATCATGGACGTCACTCGTCTACAACAGTTGGCCCTTCTGTATATTTTCCCTTACATTCACCATACTAAAAGAGCGACGTCGCGGTGGTCTCGTTGTGAATTCTCCAAATTCTCTCCATCATGTCCCTATGAATCCCTAAAACAACCCCTCTAAATGCCTGTTGTTGGTTAAACATCCCATTTTAAGCTATAGTACCCTCTGGTAAACTAACATAGCTATGGAAAAATCCACCATGTTCAATGGGAAAACTCACTATAACTGGTCCATTTTCAATAGCTATTTTGACATAACCAGAGGGTATTATCCATTATATCCCCTATAAATCCCTATAAATCCCTATAAATCCCCATAAATCATCATAAATCTCCATTATTAGGATGGTAAATATGGCAAAAACGATAGCACTTGTGCTTCCAGGATGGTGAACGTCGATGTCCAACTTTGCCTGCCCGTCTTCGGCTATGGCTACGGCTGCGAGGCAAATCGCCACGGAGGTAGCTGAGCCATGCGATTGTAGCCTGCCAGTTGAACCAGAGAGAATTGCATACATCTCTATCTATATATATATATACACATTAAATTATATATGTATATACAGTAAGATGTTACTATATAATAATATTTGTATATATATATATATATAGAGTATATATATATATATTATATACATATATAGTATATATATATTATAGTATATATATAATGAAATACATTATATATATATAATGTGTGCAGGGGTGCGGTGATATCTGGGACAGTCGGGCCATGCGCACCCCCTCTTGCTTGCTCTTCCCCATGCGCATCAATACCCTCGAGCAATCAAACATGGCGTGTTGGAAAATCCCCCATTTAGTTCAATGATTGTCCCATTGAAATCGACATTTAGAAACCAGGGATTTCCCAGCCATGTTTGAGCACAAAACATACAATGTGAGGCCCCCCAGTTATAAGTTGGTTTATAAGCCCCAGTAACCATAGTCATAAGTACCATAAACCATAGTTATTGGAGTTATAAACCAACTTAGCTATCTTGGGGGCCTCACATTGTAGGGTATTTCTGATTTGTGCCTTCGGTTCCCCACCTGCATTGAACCCACCGCGAAACATAGCAGTAGCAGTTTCAGTCTGCCGCCCGATCTTTGCGAAGCGACACGGGGAAAATTCCGCTGGTACCACTGCGAAGCGCGTCCGGTCATGTGGAAAGGGGGGGGCTAGCGGCTGGCGTGCCAGGGCTATCGGCTTAGTCTTTTTTTCACTTGTTGCTGGTGCTGAAACCCATAAAATGTGGTGACTCATAGGTATTTTGATTGGGACTACCAAGAAGACATCAGGTATCTTCAAAAAGCCAAAGATCAAAAACTGGTCAGTGGTTGATCGACCAATCCAAAAAATTATGACACTTTTCAATTTCCAAGTGCTGCAACTGCATCATGCAGAGGCGGTCTTCGCTGGCAAGGCGGAGGGGGCAATGGAGGATCATGTTGCATGCTTTAACTTGTTGTAGTGATCATGATTGTATCTCAGTTTGTAAGTGGTTTATCATATATATAATCCGTATCTAACTGGGATTATTCCATATATATATATATATAACTGGCCTTTTTTAGCCATTTATGGGTGGTTCAGAATCTTCAACCGCGGCCCCAAGCATCTTTGAGCCGGATAGCGTGGTCAACCGGCCAACGATTGCATCATCCTTTATACGGGTTGGCTAAGAAAGGATTTCCCCATGGACTGTGATAACATCCAATATATACAGTATATAATATATAACGAATATCAAATTTCAAAGAATAGTATAACAATATATAACTGATAACTCCCAATCAAGGATAGTATGACAATATAACCCTCGAACTAATCATCAATCAACAAGGGTTTTGAACACTGCTCACATGAAGGATGGCAAAGAGTCAAGTAAGATAAGTAAGGGAACAGCCCGCCAGTGATCCGCTGGTGTCTTTGTAGAAAAGAATTTGGTATCCCGTCGTATCCACAGAGTGTTTCATTGCTGTGGTGTTTAGAAGGGCTGTGAGCAGACTCTTGTATCGAATCTCGACCGGAGCGTTCACCTAAAAAGAAGGAGTGCTCCAGAACGTAAAATGCAACTTGGGTTGTTATAGAGTAAACCCCCAAAAAGATAGAAAAGTAAAACCCTAATAACATCTTGATGGATTACTTTTCTTCTTTGGGATTATGCAACTATAGAATCTTCATTCATCGACACTAAACTCGGAGAGTTTCTGCTGAGCTATACAATTGTTCATTACCAGCAAACAATGCACTGTGATGATAGCATATTGCGAGAGGGTCGCCATACCCAAGTCTGAAAAAAAATGGACGATACTGGACGTGTTGCAGTGCTAAAGCGTACCACCCGAAGCCCAATTACCGACCAAAATAAAATAAACATGACGTGTCCCAACCAATTGTTAATGCCTGCTGATCTTGATCTCCAATGGAAAGGTCGATCTCTTTGAACAGCGAGGTCACCCAATCTTTCTTGGGACACCCATCGCCAGCCAGAAACGGCGACCAGATCTTTTTGGCCTCGCTTCAGCCATCCCCGTCCCTGTGCAGCATCGATCTTCGGCTGCTCAGAAAGGGCGTGCAAAGGAACAAGTTCCATGGTCGGCAGAAACACCAGTTCCCTCTAGCAGTGAATTTATAAATCGACCTGCTGAAAATTAAAAGATCAAGACAAACTTGGAATTGTGGGCCCAAGATTCCATACTCGTGATTTGGATGTGGAACCCAAGATTGAGAAACAAACATCATCTGGATTTAGATCATCAAATGATGCCTCTTTTTTGTGGGAGGATAGCCCAAAACTCCGACCCATGGAGCTGGTTGCAGCGTACCTCCGCAGAAATTTCCTGGTTGCAGGATCCAATATGATCCAATGATTATGGATAGCTATTGGTCATCTATGATTGTCGACATTGCGATAAACACATGGCTTGTTGGTGGTATACCTACCCCTCTCTGAAAAAATGAAAGTCAGTTGGGATTATGAAATTCCCAATATATGGAAAAATAAACAATGTTCCAAACCACCATTTTGACTCCCATTTTGACCATCGCGTCACGTTGGTTCTGAACGTGACCCGTATTGGGTGGTTCATGTACCTAATGAGGTGATAACATGAGGTGGAAACATCGGCGAACGTTCGGCCAGCGGCAGGCAGTCAATGGCAGCGGTCTGACGTCTAAACGTGTTGCCCCCATGCTGGAGCATCCAATCGTCAACCCATTGAAGCCTCTGCGGGCACCATGGCAGTGCTATGACTCCTGTGAACATAAGGACCATCTGTGAGGCGGGTCGCAGGTAGTCACAGGAGAGCTTGATGTGCATATGCCGCATGGTCTCCTTGAAAACTTTCGTGAACCACCGTGCCCTCTGGCGGAAGGCATAATTACGGAGGCTTAAATAGGGGAGGTCGGCCCCGTCGTACCATCGCTCTCTTTTGATGGGCCCTGGCAATCCTGTCGCAAGCATAAAATCGACATAAAGTTGAAAATGGGACACCCACTGAACCTCATGGTCACACTTGTCCACGGCGGCCCAAAACCAGCTAGCTATATGCCGAACCAAACTGTCCTCATACCATCTGATTGCAGTTGGTGGTAGAAACAATGCAGGAAGGGCAGACCAGCGCACCTCAGGCTTGGTGTGCGGGTACACATGGGTGGAGGGCACCTCGCACAACGGGGTCTCTTCCCTTGTTGCCTCCTTACTGATGGCCAGTTGAGTCTGCTGAACAAGACGGTTATACCATGCAATTCCCTCACATGCTGCAGTATGCTGTTGCCAAAGCGCCCAAAATTCAGGACTCCGCGACAGGTTTGCACGCACAGCTTGCCTGTCTGCAACTCCATTATGGCGGAAACACCAGTCAGCATAAATGTCGCCAGCATCTTCATTGCGCTGATGCGCCGCAACTCTGGCAGCAAAAATTGGGCCAACACGGGCACGGACAAGCATTTGGATCTCCAACCATAAGTCAGAGTGTGAACTGTTAATCCGCACATCATGGCCCGAAAGGATACGCTTGAGCTTCTTGATCACACCCTCACAATCCGACCAGAGGAAAAGGCGTTCCTCGGATCCCTCAGTAAGTTGGAGGGCCCTGAGCACAGCATAAATTTCTGCGCGAATCGCACTTTGCAACAGGCCTGGCAGTGGTCCAGCATCTAGGACTTTGCTTCCCTGGCAATCATACACTCCCATACAAGAAGCCAAAACCACAGCATACCCAGCAAACCGTTGATTCACTACCTGTTGGTTGAAACAGCTACCATCCGTGAAAATGTAGATGTCACTCTGAAAAGTGAAACTGGGGATGGGCGGCACAGGCAAACCAGCAAAATAACAGTTCCACCGGCACTGCGTGGTGGGTTGCAATGACCAACCAGAGCAGCTAAGGGCTTCTGGTAGCTCACAGATGCTCCGTCGAACCTCAGGTGAAATGTCAGCACGCAACATTTCGAACCTCGGGCATTCCCAAAAACGGTGATACCTGCTGTCACTACAGGCACAATAGAGGCATTCGTCAGATGTGGCATCCTGACAGAACATCTTACCGTCTTGGGTGAAATGAGTTCCATTAAGAACCTTGCGAAACAAAGCTTGATCGGCGACATCCAAGGATTGGAGCCAGCGCCTAGTGTCAGCGACATCGCAAGTGTCAAGGCCATCAAAGCATCTCCGGTGGGCAGTGGAGGCAGCCACAACCCTGGGCCACTGCATATCCAGCCTATATTGAAACTCAGCCATTGAAATCTCAAAAAGGGAAAAGGTTCCAAACTGGTCCACAATCATGCCTTGGTTGTTGATATGCCAGCCCAGAAACTGCAAGCGTGTGCAGAGCGTGTGGGTGATACTATTGCCGGGAAACGCCTTGGAGCCAGCAACTATGTCCCCCAGCACTTGCTCGACACGCTCTCTTTGGCCGCAGTCTCGGGTGAGACGAATGGTTTGTTGAATCGCCCAGTTATGGGGGTCTGTGGTGGAATGCTCAATAAGCCCTAACTGCACCATGGGATTGGCTCCCGCGGCTTCAGCTCGGAGTCCACGCATTGCCCCTGACCTCAAGGACTTAAACATCGTCAGGCTAAGGGTAGTGGCAGGAATGCCGTGCAGAAACTTTGGCCAAGCCGCAACTCGGATCGCTCGTACTTTAGTAAAATAACTACAGGCCGAGAGCCGCAATTTGTGCCAAAGATGATGCGCCCCCTGAATACGGGCAACTAATGTGCTGTTGGTGTGCAAACGGGTGAATTGCACATGGGCACCCAGGTTCCTATTACTGGCAATCAGATCCATCCCCTGCTCACGTAACAGCTGGCGCCCATCTGCACTGATCGACCAGGTGTGGGTCTTCTTACGGTCCAGCAAAAGGTCCATTTCCTGAGTGAAACGTTCCAAACATTGCAGGGCTGGTTGAAGGAAGTCAGGGTTGGCCATCAAAACCTGCCAATCATCAACATAGGACAACGGCTGACACATGGGGAAAAAGTGAGACATCCATGCATGGTAAACCATGTCGATGACCATCATTCCAACACATGACAAGGCGCAGCCCTCAGGCAGGCCACAATTGCTGTAGGCAGGAGGGCTTAAGGCACCATTGATCTGAAAACGCCGTGGCATGATTGTCAAAGCACCGGCCCAAGCTCGCAAAATGTGAAACGGGATTCCCACCAGTGCACAACATTCAAAAACTACCAGGCGTGGAAGAAAATTGAACGCTTTTTGGATGTCCGCAATGATGCCGCTAAGGCTGATCTCATGCTCGTAAGCCTGCTCTATTGACCATAACAGTTGGGACCAAACCTGACCTGCAAAACGTTGTGGCCTACTACCAAACAACCCTGTCGGGAGGTGCTCGTCCAGTCGCTGGATAATGTGTCTGGCATTGAACGTGCCCCAGCACCGGTACAGGAGGCCCAACACAGTAATGGGGCGAAAATCCAATGCTTTCTGTGGCTCAGGGATCTTGGCAATGCAAGCCACACGCCCCGACACAATCTGGGACGGCCAATGGCCAGTTGCTTCAGCATGTGCAAAGATGTCCACAAAATTGCTTAAAGCTGCAGTGGGCATGGCACGCAAATCAGCAAGGGAAACACCATCCAACCCGCTAGAAGTGGTTGATTTCTTATGGGAGAGGCAATGTTGCAGGGTGTCCACCGTCA